TGGCAGCCCAGAAGCTTGGAGAGCAGTGTCTGTGGGGAGGGAGGGGCATGGAGTAGGGAAAAGGTGTGGGGGGACAGATTGAGGCCCCCACTGTGAGGAAGGGAGTGGGGCAGGGGTAGGGGCAGGCGCTGCCCAGCTGGGGAGGGGCAGGTGTGGGATGGAGACATGGGCGGTTCACCCAGGGGGTGGGGAGGTGGTTGGCTCCCGCTGCTGTGCACACACCTGGGGGAGGCATGGGGGCTGTGCCTCACAGATTTGTGCACAGGGCAAGAGCGGACTGCCCAATGTGGGCTCAGGGCCAGGGGCTGCTCCTGCCTCTTGCCAGTGGGGGCTGGGCTGGAACTGTACTCTGGGTGGGTAGAGGTGGGACAGGTGGTGACACTGGGGGTGGGCAACAGGGTGGGCTACAGCCACCCTAAAATTTGCTGCTGCCACCTGTCCCACCCCACCCACCCTGAGCGCAGCCCTGGCCCAGTACCTCCTTCCACTAGGAAGAGGCCAGTGCAGCCCTGGGCCCCAGCCTTCAGCAGCAGCCTGCCCTCACCCCATGCACACATCTGGGGGGCACATACCCCCCATGCCTCCACCAGGGATGCACACAGTGGTGGGAGCTGCAGCTCCGTCCCATGGCCCGCCCTGGCTCGGCAATGCCTGCCGCTGCCCCATCCCCAACCCCACTCCCTCCCTCACCGTGTGGGCTTTAATTTGCCCTCCCATACCCCTTCCCCACCACAGACTTACTGGCCAGATGCTGCTTTCTAAGCTACTGGGCTGCATGCATGCTGCAACTGTGCACATGCATGCAGCATTTATTGGTGACGTTATCAGCCACATTGGCCAAAAAAAGCCGATTGCCGATAATGTCAATTTTTCGTTTATCAGTGCCAATACATTAAGGATAGATATATACATGTACCTCTAACGAACACACACACACACACATACTATAAATAAAAATAATATATAAACTAATTATTTTTTTTAAGTGATCCTGATAGAACTTCCCCAGCTCACTCTAATGGATTTTGCCATAAGCCTTCTCAAAGTACTCCTAAGATCCCTCATCTGGCACAGGGTTTCTCTGAACCATGAATGCTTCTTGCTCCCCAGCCAAACTCCATCCCCTAACCCAACTCCATCCACCTTGTGCAGCCAGTTTCCTTCTTCCTTGGCTGGTATTACAGGTAAGCACTGTTTTTCTACCAAAGCCACATATGTCTACCACGTGTTTCTCTCTGCTGGCCAACCTTCATGCTTTTCTGTGGGGCCCTCTGAGATCCCTCTGAGGCTCTTGGCTCTGTGATTTCTAAGATCCTGCATTAATACCTGATCTTTGTTCCGTTTCTGGGAAATTTCCATTGCTCTTCCCTGCAGGGGCCCTTCTTCTCTATGCTTCAGCCATCCCTGTGTCCTAATGTGCCCCCTCCTAGAAGGAGATTCCTTAAAGTTTAGCATGCCTTCATTGTGCTTAGTCTGAGAGAGATCCGATGAAACCACATGCACTGAGGCATTCAATGATACAAATTTTGACTGAGGTTATGAAATTGATACAAGTTGTATGTAGATTCCTTAATTACTGACAGACTCTTTCTGGTATTTGGTAAGCCTGACTTTTTCCCCCTAGTCCTCTAGGACAGGGTTGTTCAGTTGGCAGCTTACAAGGGTCTAATTTGCAGCTCCTGGGCTCCCACCCAGCTACTACTTCCTCTGTTACTTTAGCTGCAGCCGTAGCCAGGGGCTCTGTATACCCTTTCCTTTTTCAGCTTCCACTTCCTTCCCCCAATCCAGGAAGCTATTAGACACAATGCAGCGTGTGGTGTCCATGTGGTGCAGTACACAGAAGGATGCAACAGCTAGGGAAATGAGGGTAAGGCTGGGGCATCCATGTGTGCAGTGCAGTAGAGGGAAGTGGTGCCCCCATGTGGCATGATGTAGCCCTCGTGCTGTGTGGCCCCTGGCTGCTTAGAAGTTGGACAGCCCTGCTTCAGGGAATGGGAGCGCAGGGAAACTATGAGCGAGGGAGCTGTCTGGTCATGGATCTGTAGCCCTGCTGCTTGACTACAGTTTGCCTCAGCAAACTTAGGACACCAAGCTTCTTTTTTGCTAATTAAAGGAGTTCCCTTCTTTTTATATTTGCGTGTTGAGCCTACTCTCTCTTTAGTGTTTGTATTTCATTATTATTTTAGTTATTGTCAATAATGATAGTTTAGGGGGAAAGTCCTGTGATTGTAGGTTTTACTGCAATATATTTGCTTGTCTGAGTGATGTAGATGCTGTGTATGACCGGGGAAGTATTCACATTTGTTGTTCTGCAATAGAGGTGACTCTTACTGTTGTGGTATAGTCATTTTTCATGGTTGGACCCAAAGGCCAAAGGCTCATTAATGTTTCGGTCTGGAATAATAGATGTTACATTTCCATTTTACTAACTCCGTGAATTTCTGAGTGTGGTTGCTTAAGCTTGCTCTTATTTTTGTGGGCCAAGACAAGAGTTTTTTTCTGTCTAGGTTCTAGTATGAGCACACATTCCCTAAAACCTTCAGCTGTCATGGTATCTGAGTTGCACCCAGTCAGTGGTGTTCATTCCTTATACTGTGTCTACCATGAAGTGATAGTTTTGGCAAATGAGATAAACCTCTAGGTGATGAAACAAAAAACCATAGATGAATGGCTGCTCTGAAAGTGCATTTTAAATTACGTGCACAAATATTTTTTTCCCAAAGCCTGAGCAATGTACTACGTTAGAATATTTTGCAGTTAGAATTCTTTGAATGGGCAAAACTACTATCTAGGAACGTTAATACTATATCTAAAAGAGAAAGAACTGCATTGGTAGAATTTTTTATATAGTTGACTGGATGAAAAAGTAAACATAAGATGACTGGTACTTTTTTCTGTGGCTGGTTCAAGAATCCTTTAGCTTAAACTTAATTATAATAGACCAAAAATATATCCAATACTTTCCTATTATTAATTTTCTGTGTAAACAAATACTGTATTTGTCAAAGGTATTAGATTTCCCCCTGTAGACTGCACAATGTTGCATAGCCAGGGAAGCAAATTCTGTCTGATGAAGCAATTTCCATACGTTTATGAATCTTGTTGAACTGCATTTTTTGTTAACAGAGGTTAGTCAGAACTCTAATTAAATTAAATAGAATTGGCAATTGTTATTATCCGCTTGCAGTGTTCTGTGGCATTCATTCAAATATTCCCTAAGAAAAAGTGTTCTAATGTATATTTAGCTGGATGTATGTTTTTAACTGATAGAAACTCTTTGAGTAGGACTGGTTCTTTGAGAAGGTTCTTTTGACTGGTTCTTTTTTTTTCCCTTATATAGTAACTGTAACATGAGTTCCACAAGGATAATGGACTCCAAACTGCGAGAGGCTGAAGGATTTGGTGAAGACAATTCAGGTAGAATGCAGAATTCCCCTAGAATATGAAAACATTTCATTTATGGTTTAAAAATTCTATAGCTAAACGATATTTTTAGCTTTATCATGGAAAGTATTTTACCTGTTCAGATAATGCTCCTCTCTCATTCACTCCTTTCCCTTCTTCACCTCCCACTTGAACTATAGTTTTGGGACTTTTTCATACACTCAGGGTAAATCAATTTCCTATGGTGACATTCAAAACTTCTGTGCAAGCTGCCATAATTCTTCTCACATGAGTGGAGCTGCCACAGCTTATAACAAGTCTAATTCTTTGACCCCTATTCTTTGTCTTACTCCACTTTTCAAAACATGTGCCTAAGCCATGTTAATTCTTAGTGTAATGACTCTTTGAGACACTTCTGCAGTTGTTTGGTTTTTTCCTATTGTTGGATTGTTTTGCAAACAAACCTATTTTTATCAAGAAAGATGGAAGACTCCTTGGGCCTAGAATTAGCCCTGTTTAAAGTTCCCTCTTCCCTGAGCAGCCCAGCATCACATTTCAAGATTATTGCCCAATTCCTATTGAATTGTCTGAGAACCATTGAGTTTCATAATTCCTATCTACAATATTCTGGATTTAATAAAATTAATATTATAAAAAATGATTGGCCTCCTGGTATTTGCCTATTTTATCTAAATAATCTATTTCTATATTTAAACTAGTTTTGGTGACAAGGTTGTCCTTATGTTTGTGATTTATTTTGCTAAGCAAATGCAGTTAGTTTCTATTTGTGCATCCTTGACAGGAGTTTTTCCTTACACTGTAATTGTATTAAATCTTTTCTCAAGAGGTAGGTATAGGCAGTATTAGAAAAGATTCTAGGTGGCAGGTTATTTCTAACATGCCATAAGTATCACAACCCTTTCCTCCAGCTAACTGCAATTCCTTGCAATCAGTATAGACTGAGAAGACCTGTTCATATGATATAGCATACTGCATTGGGCCAGGTTGCCTTTTCCAAGAAAAACCTCTTATGAAGAAACCCAATGGAATTCTATAGAATCTTAACTCTTCTTTGTCTAGGAAAGAAAAAGTCAAAGTTCAAATCTTTCAAAAAGTTCTTTGGTAAAAGGAAAAGGAAAGAGACCTTACCATCTATGGGGACCAGCCATTTGAAACCATGCCAGTCAACCAGTGATGTCATGGCCTCAGAGTCTGCACACACAGGCTATGATTCTGAAGATGAACTTGAGTAAGTCTTTTAAAATGGTATGGATGAATAAAGAACTGATTTTTCCAAGCATGAGCAATGTATTAAACGTCCAAGGTATTACCTTCACCTCTTAATCAAAAAGCTGTGTTAAGCACTTTATCTTCTTTTTTTAAACGTTATTAATTAATCCATCTTAAAGAATAACAGAATTTTTATCTTTTTTTTAGAAAAATAAATCATTCACTCCTGCTGCACTCCCTTCTGCACTGTGAGGATTGTCCCATGACCTGGCCTGGCCAGGGCCCCATTCGCTATGAATGGGGCCCCAGCTGGGCCAGGTCATGGGACAATCGGAGCTCGGTGACTCGTCCAGGGGTATGGCTAATTAAAATGAATGAAATGAAAATGTGACTTAGGTGTAGCAATATTCTTACTTTACAAAAATCCATGTCATATGAGGAAAAATAAACTTTGGGACAGCATTTTTAAAAGGACTTGAATCCAATTTTCTATAAATGACTTAGGTTTTTAAAGTTTCATTGAAAAATAATGATACTTGCTTAAGAACCAGATTTTTAAAGCCATTTGAGGGGTTGAAAGATTCAGATAACCTGCGTAGAGGCTAAATGCCTAACTTTCATTGCAGCTAGTGGAAATAAGATACCTAATATATTCTATACCACTTTTGAAAATTCCACAAAGTCTGTCTCTGCATATCTAGGTGCCTTAAATACTTTTGAAAATCTAGTCCTTAAGACTTCTCTCCCAAGGCATACATTCCTCAAATAACGTGAGTGCTCTTGAACTATTTCTCTGTGTCTTTATGGGGATTATGTGAACTATGGTGTACAATTTGCATATTTTTTTCAGTGTACAGACAGGCTGCAGGCTCAATGTTCATTCTGATGCACTTCCTTAAGAAAGGTTGGCTGCTTAAAAAGGAAGCTGTTGTTTTAATGCTGGGGTTGTCAATTGCGGGTACATGTACCCCCAGGGGTACTTAGGTTGTAGGGGGTAGGAGGGTGGGGACAGAGTGCACCCTGGGATGCAACAGCAGCCTCTCCCCCAGTGCATTTCCACGCTTTGCCTCTTACCCGAGGGAGGGGGAGGGATGCTCTGGGCCCTGCCAGCCCTGCACAGCACACTGTGGCACCTGCCCACTCTTGACCCCAACTCGCTGTCCTGATTGGCCTCTACTCCTTTACAACAGAACTGCAAAGGTCTGGATGGTGGGGGGTGGGGTGATGGGAGTGTGTTTTGTGCCTGCTCCCAGCAGGATGTGATTGGCTGGGTGGAAGGCCCATCAGCAACCCATGGAGCTGCGACTGGCTATGAGAAATTGGCATGATGTGCATCCAAGTGGTGTGGTGGTGGCAGTGGCTGTATGCAAGCCCCCACTCCCAGCACCACCACTATGCATACCTGGGACGGCATGGGGGGCATATGACCATAGCTCAGCACACGGGGTAGGGTGGGCTGTGGGCCTCTGCAAGCTGGGGCCGGGGCAGTGTCAGGCTGTTTCTGGCAGGGGTGTTGGGCCAGGCTGTGCTGGGATAGGGTTGGGGGGGCTATGGCATATTTTGGGGTGGATGCAGCTCCCTTTCCCATAGCCCCCTTCCCAGTGCCACCGCCGCCTGCTCCATGCGTAGCCCAACCCAGCCCCCGCCAGGAAGAGCCCAGCATATCCCCAATCCGCAGCTGCAGTCTGCCCCACCCCCATGCAGATCTGGGGGCACGTGTCCCCCCCATGCCCTCCTGGAGGGGTGTATAATGGTGGGAGCCTGCCCCCTGCACAGCTCAGTCCCACACCCTGCTCCGGCTGTGCAGTGCCTGCCCCAGCCCCAGCCCCACTCTCTCTCTCACCTCATCATTCCTCCCTCACTTTCTTTGTGACTGAGCTGGTGGGGGGTGCAGAATGAGACGCCCACAGTGTAGGAGGGAGTAGAGCAGGGCCCAGCAATCAGAGCCCAGTGACATGTCCAGAGGCACAGTGCAGGGAAGCATGTGCCCCCCATGCTGCCCCGCCCTGCCCCTTTGGCTCTCTCACAGTGTACACAGCAGCATGAGCTGCCTGCATGCACCCCTGGATGAGCAACCAGGCTCCAATTGTCCCACAACCCAAACCAGTTAGGGCCCTATTCACATTAAATAGGGCCCCGGCCAGGCTGGGTCATGAGACAGTCCTCACAGTGCAGGAGGGACTGAGGCAGGGGCAGGGGTGAATGATTTGCCCTTGCTCCTGCCCCACTGCCTCTTGCACTGTGGGGGTCTCAATCCACAGCCCCAGTCCCACTCCCTCCCTCACCGTGGTGGGGAGCGGGAGCAGGGCAGGAGCCAGGGCTGGGGTGAGTAAGGCATGCACTCGCCTCAGCCCCTGCTCCTGACTGTGCCCCGCTCTCTCCCTCACTGTGGGGGCCTTGATCTGCCTCCCCCATGGCCCTCTCCCTTCCCCTGCCCCTTCCCCCACAGACTTACCTGCTGGGGGGGTGTGCGCATGCTCAGCCCCATCCCAAATAATTTTTACTCTCTCTGCCTATGCAGCAGCTGCCCTTGCCCCAGCTCCACTCCCTCACCGTGGGGGCCTCGATCTGCCCCCCTTAAAAACCAGAAAAAAATATAAAGGGGCACATGAGCTGAAACTTTGAGACCAAAGGGGTACCCTTGTTAAAAAATTGAAACCCCTGTTTTAATGGATGGCGCATCCTCAAGGACAGGAGTCTGATTAGTCCAGAAATTGTATACTGTAAGCAAAAATATGCAATGTTTGGATGTACAGTGAGACTGGAAAGTTTATCGTGCAAAATCAAGAGTCCATTTAAACAGATGTTAAATGGTTTTGCCACTAGGCAGCACCAGACAACCAAAATATCTGTTTTAAAAAAAAACCCAGACATTCATTTTGCAGTGTGGGTGGTAGAAAGGATAGGACAGCTTGACCATTACATTTGGAAACCTTAGTGGTATGCCAGAATATCCATCAGAGTTATTGCATTCTTACTTGACAAAAAATATCTTAAGAACATTGATGGTTAGACCTCTGTCTTGTTAGTAACTTCACATGTCATGTTGAAGTGCATGTCTAATTTTCTGCTTACAACATCTGTTTTTCTTTGTTATTACTTTTACTGACTCCTGTGTAAAATTTGAGGCATTTAAATACTTTGAAAGAAAAGAAAATGAAATATGTCTGGTAAATTGATGGAGCATTTTGTGCATTTCAAACATGTGTCCCCAAGGCTTGCATGTCCAGAAAGAAAAAGGAAAAGGTGGAAAACTGGGTTGAATAAATGTGCTTATACAACAACATTGCTTCTCCAACTGTATTTCAGTCTTGGAGAATGTAGGTGCATTAAGCAACTGTAACACCTCTGACTGGCATTTACTTAGCAAATTGCTATAGATCTCTCTGACCTTGGCTGCATTACAGAAATCCCATTTTTACTAAGATAAACTGTTCTTGTAATCTCTCCAGCGAATTAAACCCAAACAGCAGGCTTGCCTTCCTTCTGCATCAGGAATACTAATCAGTTTTTTCCACCTATTGATTTATCAAACTTACTTTTCGTAGCTGGTGTAAGGAAAAATTCAGTCATGCTCCATGATTGTTTTCCCTTTTGTCCCCTCAACATTATCTCAGCTCAGGAAAACATACATTTGTTCAATTTTTTTCCGTTGATGTTGTAATCTCGTCAAAAACTGATAGCTGGGAGAGTCCCAGTGTTTCACTTGAATATTTCATTTCTCTCTTTATTTAGCTGTGCTTGTTTAAAAGGAAAGGGGAGCAGAGAGAAGGAAATCCATATGTATACATTTCAGATTTGCTCCATTACACTATCAGAGGCCTGTGTGCAATTGCCCATATTTTGGAGTGCAGTCATGCAAGGAAATTAGCATAACCAAGGCATTAGAAATTAGCTGAATGGATCTATGGCACTGATCCACAGTTTCCATGAAGAAATAAGGCATTACTTCACAGAGATTGTTACTTGCTATTCCCTTCATAAACCTGAAGTAAAATGTAATGCATGAGTTGGTGCATTAAGAACTCTCTTGGCTCCTCTACAAGGCCACAAATAAGGACTGAAAAAATGTGTCCAAGTGCTCCATTAAAATTAATGCTATCATGTGTGCAGGCACTAAATACTACAGTTGGATATACATGTAGTCAGAAGACCTCTGTGGCTAAGTACAGACATTCAAAAAGCCAAAGCCTGAATTGATTAAATCTTTGCAGCTTAGTCTAACCTGTGTAGATTGAACTGGCAAGCAAGTGAACAGACATTCACTTTTGATTCTGGAAATGCCACCACAAGACTGCAGTTGCTCAAGCTAGAAGTCAGGGGGTGCTAGACTGAGTCCTCTCTTCTTCTCTCCTGCAGTGGCCAGGCCAGAGGAAAGCTGAGCTGAGGGAGAAGGCATGGCCAGGCCCTGGCAGGCCTGATTGAGGATGGGGTTTAAACCCCACCCCCCAACCTTCAGGGACCCCAGCTGGGGTGTGCCTGGAGCAGGAGGGAGGAAGCAGCCCTTGCCAGGCTTTTGTGGGGAGGGAAAGAGCATGACCAGACCCCAATCCTCAGCCAGATGATGGCCTGGCATGGCCCTCTAAAGCAAAGGGGGCAGGGAGGGAGTTTATTTCCCCCCTCCCTTCCCTCTTCCCTCAGGACCCTAGCCAGGGTTTCCCTGGCCAGTGTGGAGCAGCCCCTGTCAGGGTTCCTCCCCCCTTGCCACTCCAGTGGTGGGGATATGGCCAGACATCCACCTGGCATGGCCCCCTAAGGTGAAGGGGGCATGGAGCGGGTTTATTTCTCCCATCAAGGGACTGCAGCCAGGGTCTGCCAGCCCTGGCTGCCACCTCCACTGCTCACCCCTGGCCAGGCAGACCCCAGTGGGGATCCCCTGGGGGGAAAAAGTGAGGGAGAGGGATTAAACGCCTCCCTGCCTCCTTTGCCTCAGGGAGCCATGCCCCTGCCACTGGAACAGTGAGGGGGGAGGGACCCTGACAGGGGCTGCTCTGCCCCAGCCAGGCAGGGGTCTTGAGGGGAAGGGGGGTTAATAAACCTCCTCTCTGCCCCCTTCACCTAAGAGGGCCATGCCAGGCCAGTGTCTGGCCATGCCCCTGCCCATGCCACTGGAGCAGTGAGGGGAAAAAGACCCTTGACAGCCCCTGTCATGGTGTCTTGGAGAGCACAAGCCTCTTCTCAGTGGTGGGGGCTGCGCTGTGGGCAGGAGTGGGGTGGGCAGCTCTGCCGCAGCCTGCACAGGGCAACCAGCAGTGGTGGGGCTGGGAGGGGTGGCTACAGGAACTAAGTCAGATTTTGGGTTGGCCAAAGCCCTCCAAACCCCCTAGCACCGCCGCCGCTCGCCCCATACAGGTTGGGGCAGCTCTGCCCACCTCACTCCTGCCCACAGCACAGTCTTGGGAAGAGGCTTGCAGTCCCCAGGACACCATGACAGGGGATGCTGCCCCTGTCAGGGTCCCTCCCCACTCACTGCTCCAGCAAGCGGGGGATGGGGCTTGGCCAGATGCGAGCTGGTATTCCCCCCTCCCTGCCCTCTCCTCCCAGGGGCCCCAGCTGGAGTCTGCCTGTCTGGAGACAAGTGGCAGAAGCGGCGGCCAAGGCTAGCAGACCCTGGCTGCAGCCCCTCTGGTGGGAGAGAGGACAGAGGTGGGAATAAACCTCCTCCCTCTCCTTCTGCCTCAGGGGGTCGTGCTGGGTAGGCATCTGGCCATGCTTCTGCAACTGGAGCAGCAAGCAGAGAGGGGCCCTGACAGGGGCTGCTTTGCCCTGGCCAGGCAGACCCCAGTTGGGGTCCTGGGGGAGGGGGAAGGGAGTGGGGAATAAACCACTCGGGCAAAGTGGGGAGGGAAGGGGAAATAAACCCCCTCCCTGCCCCCTTTGCTTCAGGGGGCCATGCTGGGCTGGCATCTGGTCATACTCCTGCCACTGCTTGGGCTACAGAGAAGAGGGGTGTGGCCAGCCCTACCATCTGGAGCAGACTGCACAGCCCAGCCTAGCCCAGGGCTGAAAAGCCTGCTGGGATGCTGGGGGACTCTGCTTTAACTTGAAACAGGAAGGGGTCTGGGACAGAAGTTCCATAAACTAGTTTGACCCAAATCAGTTAAGTCTGATATTACATTCAACCAGGTTTATCTTAAACCAGTTTTGGCCATTTTGAAATTGGCTTATGTGCACTGAACTTTTGTTCTGTTACAGGTTAAAACCAGTTTTTGATCACATAAACCAGTTTATGTGCAACTTCTGTCCCTAGCCAAAATGTATGCAGCATCCACTCGAACAGATTGAGTTGCAGAATCAGTGCCATAATATCTTCCCACAATAGAGGATGCCCTGTCCTGTCCACATACAAGTATCTGCCCTAACCTGGCAGATCTCAGAGGGTTCATGGGAAATTGGAATCACACCATGTCATTGTAGGAGCAATCCATCCTCCACCTCTACTGTTACGTTGACAAGCTTTCCTTCCCTCCTGCTGGGACAAACCATGGCATAGTAGCAAGAGGAAAATTAGTGAAAATTATTAGTACAACCTGGTGTATGAAGCCTAGCTAGAGAACCTCATCTGGATTCAGGAGTATAAATGGAAATCAGTAATATGCATACATGTACAGGAGATTCCTAAGGGAAAAACCTTATGGATTTTTGTTAGAGAAGGGGTGAATAGGGGCTTTTAGAAATTAATCTGATCATACAGAATTTAATAAAGCCAACTCTTTTTCCAATTTTTTTGTTAAAGAATTGTATGGATCATAGCTTCATAAGAAAGAAGGGCTCGAAGGGACGTCACAAGGTAATCTAGTGCAGACAAAGGCAGGATCATCCCTGACTAAACCATTGTAGTCAAGGATCTCTCCAACCTGCTCTTGAAAATTTCAAGGGAAATCAGATCATAGTAAAGTAGAGCTGAAAGGGACCTCAATGAGATCATCTAGTCCAGCCCTCTGCTCATGGCAGGATTCAAAATAGACCTCCCCAGACTTCATCCTCCTGTCACAGCTGCCACCTGAACAGGAACTTGAACTTTCAGTCTTCAAGTTATGTCTGATGCTCTACCACCTGAGCTACCCAGTCCCATAAAAGAAGTTAGGAGGCTTGCCAAAGCCTGGAATCAATCCAGGGATCTTCACATCTTCAGTCTAACACTCTCCCAAATGAGCAACTTTGGCAGGACTTGCTGGAATATGGCAGGAATGTACTTATCAAAGTCCTGTAAAATGTTTAAAAGCGCCTATACAAAGTGTATTTTTTTCAAACTGTATAGGACTTTATTGTAGGGTCATGATAGTCTATCTTACCAGCATCACATATATCACTACTGACTTTTATTTTAATAGGTACTATGTAGATTCATCTGAATGATGTCATTTTATTCAGTGAGCAGTTTAGAATTTAGGCAAAACATGAAATGTTAACCTCTCCATTGAAACATCTCTTTTAGGTAATCTAAGACTTATATATTTAGTAAAGAGGTTAAAGAAATAAGCAGATGCATCTTCACAGTTTTATTGTATTATCCCAGGAACCACAAAGGTGTCATGGGAAGCAGAGCTTTGTCACATGACAGCATTTTCATTCCTGAGGCTGCGCAAGAACCATGTAGGCCAGTACGAGTGTTTTCTCAGGAAAACATTTCAGATCGGATTAGAACTTTACAGGTAACATAAGACAAACTTTTAAAATACTAGTGTTTCCGTTTATTTTCCAACTGCATGTGCACATGTGCGTGTCTGTGTTTAATAGTATCTGTAGTGGAACACTTGATTTCTGCTAAGTAACACTAACATGCAAATTATATTTCCATATAATATGATACTTGAAGAACAGACCCACATCTTGGTTGAATTTAAATTACAGTTTTAAAGTGTACAGTTTGGTGCTCTGGATCATTAACTTTATATCTTGGTATGTAGAGTTTAAAATATAAGTTCATTGGACTGGACAGAATAACGTAATAAGGAGAGGAAACTCACAAAAATGTGATTTCATATTGTATTGTAGTTGAAACTCCAGCATAATTTGAAACTGGGTCCTCCTCCTCCATTGGGAATTCTTGTGAAGCGGGTGGATGATGCTGGAGCCAGTTCAGAAGATGATGGATTACCTAGAAGTCCTCCAGAAATGTCTTTGATACATGAAATACTTGGTTCCAACACAACAACAAGGGTGAGCATATTGTGATATTGACAGAAGTCCCTATTCGGGGAACAATTGCCCACTTGAGCTTTTGTTTGTATAAAAGGGGAGAATAAAATATTTGGTTTGCTGCCTTTGCCAGTCTACCTCCTCATTGATACTTGTGGGACAATTCAGAAAGTCTTGCCTTTCCGAAGTGCTATTTTTCTATAAATTGTTAGTTGTACTCTGTCAGTTAAAATATAAATGGCACATAAAAGCCAGGATACGACATGCCTCAGGGGAACGAGTGCAGAGAGAGTCCAAATCAAAGCATATGTCACTTTTTGAAATACTGCTAATTGTGACATGTCTAAAGAGTAGGAGAGGCTTCTGCAAACACCTCAATTCATAAAAGCTGGTATGGTAAGTTTACTGGCTATAGTACTTCTGAAAGTAATGTTTGGGTGCCTCTTCCTTTTTTAACTTGCTTTTTGTACTGGTTATTTTTATAAGGTTTTTGTAACCAGCCAGTGTTGCTATGGATGAGGGGTGGAGGGGAAACTGCAAAACCAACCCAAAAATAAAAGATGGTGGGAAAATCTGTAGTCTCTCCTGAATCTGTTAATGAGAGCTGTCACACTAAATGCTTTATTATCCAGTATGGAAAGAGGAACCTTTTGTAAGAAGTTTTAACTACTTTTAAAACATTTAAAAGTTGGCGCACAATGTTTAACTAAGCTTCAGTCTTTTCCTGAATGCCTTATACTTAAGTTTGCAGTACCTTTTACTAATTCTTAGAACTGGACAGAGGTATTACACTGATAATGGGAGCTACAGTACCTGTGTACCTGCTAAAACATCCATCTCATTTGTCATCTTTTACTGAATCCATCTCCTCATTCCATCCCACAGTTCTCTGACTCTCACAACCATCTTAGCTCTTTGAGTTTAGCTGGACCAGGCAGTGAAGAAGAAGAACAGGTAACTTCTGAGAAATATATTAAAGAACAAACAAAATAGCTTTTTAAAGAAATGTAAGGCATAACTATTATTCTCAGTTGTCTGTCTATATTGCAGCAAGAACAACCTCCTAAATATGTTATTACCACTACTTTTGGGGTTTTTAAAGCCCAGCTTGCTAACATAACTTTCAGTAGAATTTTCTGATGCCAAGGAATTCTTTTTTAATTAATTAATGTAAATAATAATAGTGAATGAATTTTTCTAGCATCTCCCAGCTCCAGCTTTTACACTGTCTTACAGATGCAAATGAATTTAACCTCTAAGCAGGCACACAAATGTAACATCTGAGGTTGCTGGTGGTATCTGTATTTTAGAAATGGGGAAATGACAACAGAGAGTGGCTTACTGAGATGCTCAGGGTCATGAACGAAATCTGGTACAAAACTGAGGTCTTCTGAGGCTCACCTAGTCCATTGCTTTAACTGCAAAAGTACCTTGCCTTGAGTGGAAAGCCTGCTTTTTAGGCTCTCCTCACTTCAAAGGGGATTCAAAATCATCCTCCTTCCAAGAATTAATTTACAATGAATTTACATTTGTCCCCACCAAGCAGGGCCAGTTTGGATTGGTCTTTGTGACTTAGGTGTCTATCTTCCACTTAAGTCATCACCCAGAACCTCCAACTCTGGGGCTGCTACCTTCTGATTGGCTACTACTTTGTTCTGCCTAATGCAGCCAGCTGAGCAATGCCTGTCCTCTGCAGCCATGTGCTGCTGGGACAAAGATGTCCTCAGTATTCTTCCCTTCTAATATACTTAAACAAAGTCAGCCATAATGTGACCTCATATCTTTGCAGCAAAATGACTAGAATTCAGCCTGAGTGCTGAGTTTTAAGTGAAGTAATAAATTTTGTTCTTATTTTCCTAATATATGAACTAGTATTAAAGATCATACCTTTGGTTGTATTAAGTACCTGAGGATAAATGACCAGGGAGAACAGGCAACAGACAGTTGTTTAGGAGAACATGTGCTGTGACTTCTATGATGGAGCTGAAACACCAATGTATTCATTGTTAGGTACTAATGTATACCATGATACATGACTGCAGTATGCATTAGTCATGTTTAAGTGACACGCTGCAAATATAAAGAAACATTCAGTTCCAATCAATGAAAATGACCATTAGTTGGCATGGGTGAGTTATTTATTTTTTTTTATGGATAAAGAATTACTGGAAGTGGAGGTTCTGGGTGCAGCTTCCATTAAAGTCACAAACTGCAATGAAGGAGAAGGCTGCAGTATGGAGCTGTATTTCAGTTTCAGGCCTCCAAAGGACTGTGGTGAACCATTAGTCTCAAAGTATCTGTCATAATTTAAAACTTATTTCTGCTTTCATTTTGCCTTATTTTTAAAATGGTATTATGGAATGGAGAAAAATCCCTTTTAAAGGTTCATTTTTAAGATGATCTTTGATTTTTTTTTTTTTCCATAACTGACTGGAAAGTAAGGATTATGCATCAGCCTTAGGACTTCTGCATCAATTTTCTTTTAATTATATTGGATAAGGAAGGCTGCAAAATTGAACTTCCATTGCAGAAAGTACCAAGTAGTGTTTAAAAAAAGGAGAAAAAGGACCAAAAATAATCCTGAGTGTTATGCCTGATAATTGTACAGATTGCAAATTCCAGGGGATTACTTGACATTTGTTCAAATATACCAATGAAATACTCTGCTTAGTCAGGTTGAAAAAACAAAGTTTGCAAATAGAAATAAAGTTACTTAAAATAAGGGACTCTAGGATTGGAAAGGGATTGGTTCCATGTGAAGCTGACCTGGAGGGACTGGGGTTGGGTTTGAATGTTCTCAGAATCACTCTTCTGAAATGGACATTTTTTATACCTTATAGTTTTGCTATTCAAATGTAACACATTCTTTTACTATACACTTCGTATTGCAGTGTTGCTGGAAAAGTAAAAGTAAAAGTACAGTGCCACTACACAGAAGCGGATCCAGGATTTTATAAAGCGGGGAGCAGGAGCAGTGACCGGAGCTGCAGGGGTAGCTGCACCCCCTGCTTCCAGCCTCTTCACTCCCTTCCTCCCTGCAGGAGCAGGCAGATCATGCCCTGGGAGTAGTAACTGGGGACTAAGGTAAGGAATGGTTACTTCCTGAAGGAGGTAAACATTCCACTTCCCCTATGTGCTTAAAGGCACATCCCTTTCTCTGTCCCCTCTTCTCCCATTCCCCTTTCCCCTGCCTGCCACTGTTGGCATCCCTGTTGTCCGTGTTGTTCTAGGAGCAAGGGGAGCTTCTACCTTGTTCCAGCCAGGCTGCCCCAGGGGCTGGGGTCAGTCTGGGACAGCGGCAGCAGTGGTGGTGGGCAGGCATGTTTCCCTTCTCTATGCTTGCTCCCATGCTGGTGGGGAACACCCATGGGGAGCAGGAAGGGAAATGAAACCTGCCTGTCCACTGCTGCCACTGGTGTCCCGGGCTGAGTCCAGCCCCTACACGGCATGGCTGGAGCAGGACAGGACTTTCCTTCACCTCCAGGACAGCAGGACAGCAAGCAAGGGAGAAGGGAATGGGAGGGGAGCAGATGTGGTCTGTCCCAGACTGCTGCTCCGCGAAAGAAAGAGGGTATGGTCATGCCACTACACCCCTTCTGGATCTGCTCCTGTTGCTATGGTTGGATTGTTGTTGCAGCTGTGATGGCCTTAGAAACAGGCAAAAAGTAAGGGATTTTTTGACAATTCTTTTATTGGACCAACTGTGTAGCTAGAGATTTTAGGCAAGCTTTTGAGCATATAGTGCAATCTCTCCCAACTATACTGTTGGTGCAATAAGAGATATCACTCAAAAAAACCCCAAACCCTTGCTTCTTGCAAACTTGCTAACACAGTACTTCATGTGCAAATCTAATAACTGCACTGCAACTGAAATAGAAGTTAAAAAGCCCAAAATGCCAATAAAAGTGGGTATTTTTCCCCCTTTTCTCTTTGTAGAATTCCCATTTTAATTTCTTGGTCTTTGTTTGATGCTCTGCTTTGGGATTCTTTAGGTCACATCAGGTCCTTCTTCTAGACCTCGATCAACAGAAGGTCAACTATTCCCTAAGCATGAGAGTGCTAAAACTAGATCTCCCAGAACATCTGACAGCAGCATTTCGCCTGCAGCTGATTTTGACACTCCGCCCAAGTACTTCACTTGCTTGGATAATTCAGCTGCTAAACACAAGCTTTTAATAAAACCACGGAACCAGAGATCTAGTAGAATGGGAAGATTTTCTTCGGTAATTATAAAGAAAAAAAATAGACTTCATCATTGGCCCTAAAATTATATCTTCCTGTATCTTCCTGACTTGCCCTTCTTATTTCAACTTCTTTATGTATTTATGAAGTAGAGCCAGAGCTGTGAGTGGATATTTTATTGCTTTCTGATGACAAATGTTTAATGAGGGTTGTGTGCTCATCTGGAATAGAGCCCTGAAGAGTAATAAAGGCTGAACACTGTGAGAAGGGATTACTTGTTAATTCTCTCAGTGTATGGATTTAAGGTTACATTTGTTTTTAAATTTACCATGTAGCACTATTTGAGCGTTTTTTAACCTCTGTGACAGGCTCAACTTAAATTTCTTACTATTTTCTTTTAAAAAAGTATATAATTGGTAACATTTTTATTGGAGTGAAAGTTAATCTTTAAAATCTGATTCTTGAAAGAGAATCTCCCCTTCTGCCTCCAAAAAAATTCACCATTAGATTATTTTTCACTCTAGAAAAGCACAAAAATAAGAGGTTGTGTCATGTGCTTCAATGGCTGGAGCCAAGTATTGTGCACTAGGAATATCTTTCCAATTTCCCTGAATAACTAGTAGACTATGTGCCCTTTGTGTGGTTTCACCAGCAGAAGTTGAAAACCAAGTAGAAATATAGCCCAACAGTGAAAGCTACCTTTGTATATAAAGGAAGCTTTTTCCCAACATAAATAAGTTTCGTATTTGTGGGGCCTTATTTTTAATCGACCATTGTGGAAAACTTGAGAGAGTCTAGAATAATTTTTGTAAAAGAGAAAACAAACTTGACTATTCCTCTTAAGAATTTGTAAAAGTTTACTTTATGTACTAATTTCTGTCTATTTTAAGCATTGCTTTTAAAATGTCAAGTTGGCTTGTTTAGAGACATAACTGTTGATGTTCCCAAATGCCAATATCAAGAGGATTCATTATTTCTTTCACAAGTACTAAGCACTTTCTATACTTTAAAACACATAGTCTTTAGCTAAGCATAACAGTATTGCCAGCTGTATGAAAAATATATGAAAAGGAGGGAAGGAAAACACCACATAATCAAGTCTTTTGCCAGTGCCAGATTATGACCAAAGTATATTCACCATAGCTTTGTCCATTCCTTATTTAAATGACCAAGGTGTTGGAGCTATCGAGATTTTCTTTGGAAAGTTTTTGCACTTCCTAGTACATATCAACAGTAGTATTTTTCTTGTGCAACTTTGCTTGGGTAATTCACTTCTGACCTACAACCAGCACCTCCTGCTTTTAAATTCCTGAGCTTGTAATGGGCATGCAGCAAATTGCCTTGCAGCTTTATGATTTGCAAAAGGGGAACTGAATGAGACTTAAGTTGCTTTAGAAAGTATACTTGGTATTCCTAAAATGAGTACCCACATTTAAAGCACATATTTACCTAATAGCATGCTGAATCACTGTCGTCTAACACAGGTACCAAAATGCATAATCAGCAGTTTAGTAATATGCTTTGCAATAATCCTGTATGCTTAGCCACTTCTAAGAACCTATTTATAAAAGCTTACCCGAAGTCTATTAAAAAAGAACTCTCAGGTAAATAAAAGTTTTGTAATCTCTTATGACATTTTTAACTCTTGAAAGAAAAAGGAAAATGTGATATAAATATGAGGGTCTATAAAATGTTATCACAATTTGATTAAAGATAAGACAAGTATGGGAAGGCCGTAGAACCTCAGCTTGTGCAAACTCTCATAGCCCAACTGATTTAATACCTTTTTTCTGCTGTTCTTGCCTGTGGAGTGTATCTATACATGCAACTATAAATATGTATGTGTGTGTGTACACACACATAAATCAAATACATGCATATAGACTATCCCTAAGTCTTCAGGCTTTCCTTTTCCCAAAAAGGGTTTGTTTTGTTTTTCATGAAAGGATGGAGCTGCAGAATTTAAAGGGCCAGATTTTTCTAGTTCCAGTGCCGTTTTTCTGCCACTAAAGCAACAGAACATTACTTCTTTGCTTTGGTATATACAGTGCTGCCAGCCATTGCTTTGGTGGATTTGGCTAAGGCATCTAAAAGATGCAGGGATAGGAAATGATATCTTAAATGAGTGTTTGATAAATTATTTTATATATAGTGCAGCATTCCAGTATCTAGTAATGTAAAGTCAGCATATAATACCAAACTTTGTAAAACATGAACTAGCTATGTATTTAGGGCAGGGGTTGTCTTGCTCTCTGGACAGCAGCTAGTACAGTGCATAATCTGCTATGTACCTGGCAATAAAAAATATGTGAAGATGTAAAGGAATAATAAAGCTGTATTGAATGTTTGTTCTTTGTAACAGACCCAGTCTGAATCTCTGAATGACTTGAGCTGTACTCCAGAAGAGGAGGAGCATGATGGAAGAGAGATATTGATAGACTTGACAGATGAAATCCTCAATACCAGTCATCAGGATCTGTCAGGCAGCACAGCTGTAACATGTGACATGCCTTCTTTGCAAAGAGCTGAAATACCTGCAGACTTTTCCTATTGCTTAAGACAGACAGATGAAAGGACTTCCTCACTGCAATTCACTTCTGAGTCTGCCATCAGAGAAAAAGCCTTATTACCTGAGAATAATCCTGAGATTTGCCAAACTACACAGGAATTAACATACCTTGCATCAGATTATCCATCTGCTTTAGAACCTAAAGAAAATTCAATTACATGGAGTGGGATACAGAATAGAGAAACGCAAAGGGAAAGAAAATGCTCAGAAACACTGAATATTTCCATGGGGAATGTCTATGAAGTGTCAAATGATATTTTGAATCAAGAAAATAAACAGCTTCCAAATGTGCCTCTAATTAATAAGATGCTGTCTGAAGGGGATGCTCCAACCCATCAGGATATTTCTTCTTGTTTGGAAGGGTCAAAAGACAAAGGGCAGAAGGCTAAGATATCCATGGAAACATTCTGTAATATGGAGGAAAAGAGAGAATCTGCTGTATTCCCTGGGTCCTGCAAGCAGCTACTTGAAGGTCTTTCTCAGCATGTCTCACAGCCTGCTTTATCACAGGCAGGGGCTTGTGCTACCTGGTCTCTGGAAAAGAAGTTCATTCAAGAGCCAGTCATATCTAATGAAGAAAATAGTCAGTCACTAATACAAAGGGAGACAATTTTGGAGAGAAAGAGGGAGAAAGCAGCCACCGGACCCAGTGCTTTGAGAAAATTTTCAGTGTCATCAGCATGGGAAAGGCCAAGGACTAGCAGCTTTCACTTGAAAGAGGGTTCAGAGTATGGAAGTTTATTGAACTCCAGATTATCTCTGCCCAAACCAAACCTCTTACAAAATGAGAAGTCAAAAGAGGAAGTGCAGATGGGATCAGATCTGCAGGAGGGAAAAAGTAGAAATAAAATGTGGGCATTGTTGCCAGAGTCTGACTGTGAGATCACTGGCCATGCTATGGATAAAATGGTGTCTGGCTGTATTTCTCAGGTGGCTGATGAGATTTCCATGCCAGGTGATTTTTCTGTGGTATCCCAGCATCAGTCAAGCTGTGAAGATAAGAATCCTTTTCAAGTAAAACTTAGGTCCACCTCACTATCCTTGAAATATGGAGACAGCTCTTCTTCAGAAGCAAAAGGGATTAAAAGATACAGTGCAGAGTTTAATGTGGACAAAGAAGGGTTGGCTTCATTTTTAAAAGGTGAAAAGGCACAGATAAAAGCGACAGCTGATGTAAATATCAGTGTCTCTTTAAATGCCAATCAAATGCCTAAAGCAAAATCTCCTGAACAGCTTAACACAAAACCTCCATTGCCTAAGAAGCCTGTTTTGCAAAATATAACAAATTCAAACAAGGAAAAACAGGAAAATGGCATTAAATCTTGTGAATCCAGAAATGACGATAGAGACTTGGAGAAAAAATTGAGTCCTCCTCAAGTGCCTGGTAAGACTTCTAATGCTTTGTGTTGCTGTCTGAGCTCATTTCAGTTTTAATAGACTTGAAAGTGTTCTGTCTCTTTGAAACAATGAAGGCATGCATCAGTGATGCCTTCTTTATGTTTGTAGGTTTAACGCTCTGTTTACCAAAGTGGAAGAATTGTATCTGTGTGCACATGAAATTTAACAGAAGCAAGATGGTTTTCTTCTTTCTGTATCTATTTTTCAAAGTGGAATGATGTTAGCAACTTAATGTTTCAAACTTGTATGACCTAATTGTCTCTTTGACCCTACACAGTATTCTTCAGGGTCAGCTTAATGTGGGGCCATGTTAAGGCAAAGTACATAGTAAAAGAGGTATTCTTTCTTCCAGTCGACTGTACTTGCTGATAGTGACTTGGACCCTCCACTAATAGCTGGCAGTGCATAAGCCCCAGAGTCCATTTCTCTTCTCCTCCAACCTCTTTCCCCAATCCAGGTGTAGAACGTGAACTTTCATAAACAATTTTAAAGCTTTTTTTAAACAGATATGTTGTGAAAAGTGATAAGCTATGGAGAGGAGTGGGAGGCTGCAACGTGAAAAGACTTCAAAATCTTCACATACAACAGATAAAACTAAAAATCCATTACTGTGCACATCCTTTTGGCCACAGTCCAGCAACCTGGTGTCTTGCTGATATTTCCCTGAAAAGGCACAAAAAATCTAAAGAAGTACTTGTGCAATTTTAGCAGTTTAATAATATATTTGATACTGACTCAACAAAACTCTAAAGACTTTTATGACTAGATTTGCTGAATTAAAGATCCAGATCCAAGTCACAAATTCAAGTTCAGGATACTACCTGAATATGTATCTTCCTGGAGTTCAGTGCTGTTCATATTCTTTAATCTGCTTTCACTCTTTCCAGTCCTTTGGTTTGGTTTCACTTCAAGGTCTGGGAGAGACCTTTAATCCATGTCAGTGTTCCTGCAATTTCAGGTTTATGTGGCTAGTTGCTATTTCACACTGTGGTTCAACTTAGTCTTTACTAAAGAGCTAACTTTGAATAGCGTTAAAATAAATAAGGATTTCATTTAAACAACAATAAGGTGGACTCTTTAAAACTCTAGTTCAGATCTTCAGCAGCTTTCGCTCACGTGACCCTTATAAAGAACTGAACCAACCAAGAACGAGCATGTGGGCCAAGATGCTTCAGGAACTCAGGGAGATATTGTCATAGTCTGGGCTAGTGCCAGACTTGATGCTGTCCAAAACCTTGCTAAGTTGAAGAACTGTGAAGGTTCTGGTCTGGTGTGTTCAGCGGAAAGTTCTCATTTTTTTTTGGAGGCAGCTTTTCACTTGCTTTTTCCAGTGGTGCTCTTGCTACTTGGGTGGCTGCCTACTTGGTTGGGCACTGTGGGAGGGTGACTCAATGTTGATAGCTGATGAGCCACTCTAAGATGATGAGGTAGACTTCAACACTTCCTGTTGGAATGGGTGAAGTCCAGCTTCTCAGTCATTTCTTCCCAACTAGTTCGGCAAGCTGCTTACAGTGATTCGATCAAGTGATCTGCCACATCTAGGTTGCCAGATGGTTCATTCAGCTTTAGTATCATGGCATACTCTGGGTTGAGGCAAGGAGTACAGACTGGGTGGCAGCCATGTGGAATGGCCCCACTGTGAGGCCCAGTTTTTCATCATTGGTATCTACGTTTGTATAGCCCCAATCTGTGTTGGCTCTTAAAGTTTCCAACATAGATGGCTGGATGAGGCAGAGTTGGTAGAACTTGTTGGTCCTAGTTGACTTTGGAAGGCACGTAGAAGTTTGCAACCCAAAGACCACCTGAAAAAGGGAAGGTAACTAGGGATTTATATGGAAGAGTCTGGCTGGAATGGAGAAACAGGAGACTGGAGCCTCTGACTCTCTGGAGCATCTCTGAATTGGAGACACCTTACTTTGCTTCTGAGAGTGGCCAGTATTATATGTAAGTATTATGTGCTTAGCAAGTGCCTTTAGCACAGTTGCTTTCAGGTCCATCCACTCTCCCTTGCTGAAGAGAGCCATTTAGACCACAACAGGAAAACAGAAAAACTATAAAAAGACTTTTTTTTTAATTACAGGACATAGTTTAAAGCAGGGCTATCAACTGATGGTCCGCAGGCCACAGGTGGCTTCCAGAATATTATCCTGCAGTCCTTGGGTTCCTGGTGTGGGTGCCAATTCCCCAAATCACTCTCCAGCTACTGGGAGTCTCTGAGTTCCTGCTCCCTCCTCCAGGTTCTGCTGCTTGCCCATGCCTCTGGGAGTTGGGCAGTACAGCATGACTGTGATGCCAAGGAAGCCTGTGGCTGGATGACCCCACATACTGCTGGTGTGGGGCCCTGTGGTGCTGCATGAAGGTTCTAGCACAGTGGGACATGGGCATCTTGTGGGGGAAGAGAGGGCATGTGGCCTGGGCAGTGTATGGCTGTGGGCCTGTGGTAGAATTTGGATATATATGGTTTAAAGGATAACCTAAGAGGCACTTCATATTTTTTATGCTGCCTAATTAAAAAAAAAATCCCAGGTTTCTTCAGTAGGAAAATGGTTGTTAGAACTGCGGTATGGCATTCCAAAAGCAAGTAACATATTTCACGTGCAAACCAGGTTGTAAGGAAAAGGATGACTCAGACCTAAAAAAAGGTGTCCTCTTCTTTCACAGGGATATTGAAGAAACAAGATTACTAATTGTCTGGCATGTTCAGCATACTATTTATTTATGGTACCCCTCAGTGTCTTTGTCACACTTTATCATTGCTTATTCTTTTGTTGAAAAGAATACTGGAATATGGATTTTAAGCAGCTATTACTGGAACAGATTGCTAACCTAGTGAGGAGGGCTTTAAACTAGATTCACTGGGAGGTGAAGACAAAAGCCCAGAGGTAAGCAAAGAGCCTAAAGACCTGGATAACACCTGGATATGGATAGAAGACCTGTATGCTGTATGAGGCCTTACCTGGAGTATAGTGTCCAGTTTTGGGCCCCAGACTTCAAGAAAGGTGTGGACTGTTTGGAAAGAATCCCATGCAGAGCAACAAAAATGATAAGGGGCCTGGCAGGCAAGACTTAGGAGGAAAGGCTTAAAGAACAAGGGTTATTGAGCTTGGAGAAGAGAAGACTTGAGGGGGATTTGATACATGAAGGGTGATTATAGAGAAGGTGGAGATAGGGGTGTTTTCTGTGGCTTTTGGGGACAGGACTAGGAGCAACAGCCTCAAGCTTCAACAGGAGAAATTTAGGCTGGAGATTAGGAGGAATTTTCTGACTACAAGAATGGTTAGGAACAGCATTGGAGCGGGCTACCTAGAGAAGCTGTGGAATCACCATGTTTGGAAACTTTCAAAGGCAGGTTGGACAGATACTTGGATGAGATGGTTTAGTCAGAGATGATCCTGCCTTGAGTAGGAGGCTGGACTCCCAGTCCTTGTGGACCTTGTGAGGTCCCTTCCAGCCCTACTTTCCTGTGATCCTAAGGTTACATATTTTTAAGTTAAGGCCAGAAAGGATCCTAAGACCTCAAGTCTGACCTGTATATCCCAGGCCATTAAACATTCCCAGTTATGTGTATATTGAGCCAAAACTGGGGGCTAGAAAAAGAGTATTTTTGTCCTCTAGAGACAACTGCAGGCAAAGAACAGAAGTGTCCGAAGCAGCACCTCCATTTGAGCTCTGTGTTAAAATATGCAGTGGCAAGGATTTAATAAAAATATGCACAAATAATCCTAGGAGGAAATCTATGCTCAGTGCTTCAGAGGAAAAATAAAAACAGAAAATCAGTCAGCGGTTATCAAAACTTTTTAGCCTCAAGGGCCCCCTCATTAGACTCGAGGTACCCTTCTGAAAATGCTAGCTTTTAGCTTTCACTTATTCTTTTGACTACAGAAAAATAGAGCAATTCTTCTGTTGCAAGGAACTCAGAAAGAATATAGCAGTTCAGAATTGTTTTGACACTATGGATTCCTATTTGAAATATCTGTCAATCATGCGAATCACATATAGGTGTTTGCACACCTAACAGTACTAATATTGCATTGCAAACTTAAAAGGATCTCATGGCACCTCAGGGTGATGCAACACTGATTGTGAATCAATGCCTTTGATCCTTGCCAATCAGCTTTGGGGAAAACTCCTTCCCTACCCCAAATGTTACCAGTTTTGCCCTGAGCATGTAAGCTAGGTACACTAGCCAAGCCTGTTTTAAA